GCCTGCTTCTGCTATGAGAGTCGAAACCCTAAAGCCCTAAACCCCAAACCCTAGACCCCCTAAACCCTACTGTTCAGGGATCCTGTGCTTTGAAAAGGCCCCCCCCCTCCACCCAATCCCCGGCCCTGGACAGCTGCGTGAAAGTCGTTGGCGGATTCCGAGGATGGTTCCGACACAGTGAGGCGCAGGGTGTAGGGTTTAGGGTCTAGGGTTTAGATTGGCTTGTACTTGGAGGTTAGTTTTTGATTTTCAGTAGTGTGATAAGTACGCTAACTGTTTAACTATGGTTCTAACCTCACTTCGGCTGAACCTCCAAGTATTGCGAGAAGATGAAGAAGAATATCAGACTTTAGGTTCTCTTTGCAGCTTGTGTCAGATCTGTTTCAGCAGACTGCTAGAATCATCCTGCTGTGTACTCGCTGAAAAGCCGGAATCTAAGTTGAAGCGCCCCTTAGCAGACCAGTAGCCTCCACCCCTAAACCCTAAATCCTACACCCTAAACCCTAAACTCTCCACCCCAGAGGCACCGGCAGCTTCAAAGCATCCAGGGCAGCTTCCACGTCCGCCACGGCCCCCGCACGAGCAGAGGCTGCTGACGTCTTTGTTTTGGTTTTAGGGTTTAGGGTTTAGGGTTTAGGGTGTAGGGTGTAGGGTGTAGGGTTTAGGGTTTGGGGTTTCGGGTTTAGGGTTTAGGGTTTTGGGTTTACGATTTAGGGTTTAGGGTTTAGGGCCTGGCTCGCCCCAAAGCCCATGTTGCAAAAGGGCTTAGGGTTTGGGGTTTAGGGTTTTTGGCGAGGTTTTGTGACTTTTGGTGGGGTCGGGGGTTGAGCTTTGGAGGCCCTAAAACCCTGCGAGGCACTCTGCGCCCCAAGTCCTCAAGGCCTGTAGTTGGGCTAAACCCTAATTAAACCCTAAACCCTAAACCCTAAACCCTAAACTGGGGTTTCAAGGGTTTGCCCGGCAGTCGTTTACGAGCCTTGGATGAAAAGAGGGCCCAGAGGCAAGATTTGGGATTGGAAGACCCAGCGCCCCCAGAGCACAGGGTTTTTTTGCATGGATCATGGGTTTAGGGTTTAGGGTTTAGGGTTTAGGGTTTAGGGTTTAGGGTTTAGGGTTTAGGGTTTAGGGTTGAGGCCTCAAACTCGCCGAGTTATGGTTATCTTCACCCCTTTGTGCCTCATGGACGTCCGGGGTCACTTCGAGGCAAGTGGCAACAGCCCACCAACCTCGAACAAGCACACTGAAACTGGTATGGCTGCAAGTCGGGGTGCTTCCTGAGTATGTAGTGCCAGCTACAGCAGCGATGCATACCTTGGGCTTGGAATCCTAAGCCCTATACCGCCCCAACGCCTGACACCCTCAACCCTCACACCCTCGACCCTTAGGTGGCAATAAAATGGGCCGTTCTCTTTAAGTGTGGTCCCTTATCCTGAGCCTCACATCTGCATGTAGGGCAGACAATATATTGGGGGGGTTTACGATATTGGGGGTACCTTATTAGGGTCCCTATTCTAAGCGGATGCTACTATGTGGGGGTCTATATTGGGTTCGCTGATTATCGTAAGCCCCTGTATCGAAGTCAAAGCGGCCAGGCCTAGCTCGAGCTGGGTTTGCTGCCCGCTCTGCCCTGCTTCGTCCATGCGGCGGTTCAACTTGGATCGAGGGTGCGTCCGGCGAAATCTACCAAGTGGTTTTCGGCAGGGTTTCGGGCCGCAGGACGGGTTGGTTCAGGGTGTGGGTGCGGTTTCTTTTGGGGGTTAGAGGTGGGAGGGGGTTTCAGGGACTAGGGCATAAGTTTCGTTTTTGCGCAGGTCTTACACTTTCGTTTGCGGTGGGTTGGAAACTGGCATTGGTAGCTTTGACGGCAGCAGGAAGTTCAAAAGTGCAATGCGAAGGCGACAGCGTAAGGGTTTCTTCGTTCTGAGGCCCCGGCTTGGAGGGTCTTTAGAGGACGTTATGCATCAGGCAAGGTGTGTCATGCTTGCCAAGGGTTCCAGTATCAAGATTACATGGGGCCCTGGTTCTCAAAAACCCTAGCCCTAAACCCTCAACGCTAAACCCTAAACCCTAAACCGTAAACCCTAGAGAAAAAAACCCTAAACCCTAAACTCTCTCTGGGTCCCTTATAACCGCGGAGCGGCCTCGGTGCGGTGCCCTTGTGAGGCTGCGGGCGCACTTGGATGCCGCAGCTCGGCAAGCTGACCTTGCGTCAAGGGCTTAAGGAGCTTAGGGCTTACAGGGTTTAGGGCTTAGGGGTTGAGGTTAGGGCCTAGGGTTTAGAGAGCTTGTAGGGCTTAGAGGGTTGAGGGCTTAGCTCGGAGAGCGATAGCCTGATCCAGGCGAGGACTCACGCAAGCCTGCTGCAAAAAAAGGGCTTGTAGGATTGAGGGCTTAGGGTTTTGGTCCTGGAAAACCACAATGGCTACGGCGATCTTTGGCGCATTCTTGAGCTTGGGCAGTGTGTTGGAGGGCATCAACACCGCGTTGTGCGTCATTGAAGGCTATGGAGCATAGCAACACCTCCGTCCCTAAGCTCGAGGTTGGAAGACGAGGTCTCCAACTCTAACTTCCTTTCCCCCATCAGAAGGTGCATGGTGAAGGCGAGAAGCCAAAGGAGGACTGGCTGACAGTTTTGGTCCGTTTGCACCGGTCCTCTGGTGTCATATAGGCGTCGTCGGAATAATTACTGATCGTATTCCCTTATGGTCCGTTTATATTTATACTTTGATCACCCCCAAAACCCTGTTCGAATTATTCAGGCCCCTTATGTTAGGCGTGATGCAGCTTTGTTACGACAAACATCGGTCCATTAGGTCAACAGGCTGACACAGCCACCTGCGTCGCAAAATAGCGTAGTCAGAATCCTGCGCTGCACTCGGTCCCTTTGCAGCTTTCTGTTTCACGCAGCTGCCCCTATACACGTCCTACAGTAAGCCTAAAAACCCCTTATAGCGGGCAAGGGTCTGGCGAAGGAGGCATGGCATCAGCAGATGGCAGCTCTCGCGCAGGCTGCCACAATGAATCCGAAGGTCGTATTTGCGCATTTCCCAAACTAGGGGGTGCCCCGCAACTCTCATCCTTAGCATAGCAGGAGTCCACATATTTTGTTCAAAAACCCAATCTTTTGTAGAGTGTGCCCAACCACGGGCAACCAACCGCAGTCCGAGTGTACCTCTCTTGTGCAAAACCTGAAGCCGCACTCCGAATCCTTAGGGTTTCGTAGGGACCAGATGAACCTTAAAAAGGTTAAGGCTCTATATACCTGAATTAATGGGAACTATAGTAGTATAGGGTATATGCCCCCCAATTCTAGGGTTCATTTCGTCCCGAAGGTTAAGGTACAGGGGCCCTTGTGACAACCCTAAACGGCCCTAAACCCTCTTCGGCCCTCTACGCCCCAGACCCGGCTTCGGCAAAGGCCACTGGCAAAAGAAACTAGCATCCAACCCTGGTGCTTGCAGCCGAATGCAGCCGAAGCAGTTCGGGGACAACACGTATTACATTGCCTCTCCCCCCCTTCTTCCCTCGCCTTCGAACACGAACAACTCGCCAACAGGAGGTTCCTATGAGCTTCCGAAACCCACGAAGCCGCCGAAACAAAAAAACACCCTAAACCCCACAAGCCTTGCCTGCGCGTGCGCGAGTTGTGAGAGTCGCAACCCTGAACACGCAGCAGGCGCGAGGCATCTTCGCCCAGCGCAGCGCCGAGGGCCTTGGTGGCGCCAGGCCACATGCAGTCGGAAGGGGACGCAGAAACTTGAAGTATGGTTTTTTGGGTTTAGGTCCGGCTGCGGACGGGTAGCTATACATGTAGCTACAACACAAACATGCAAAGGAATGTACATGCATGTTTATACACACCGTGAATGAAGGCTGGACACACAGTTGTCCTACTTTTAACGGTGTTTGCTTATAAGCCATGTTAACCTTCAGGTGGGCTTCGTGTTTAGGTTGCGTCCCCTTGTGGATTAAGAGCGCTTTAAATAGGGATTCTGACGAAGGGTATAGTGTTGTTGCACTATGCGGTTTTAATAGGGTTTAAGGGTTAGCAGCTGCCACTCCGCAGTTAAGAACCTATGCTCCAGCTTCGGGTTTGAGGATGTTTAGGCCCGGTACAGGCAGGTGGACAAGAAGCCCTGTCAACCATCCCTAAGCCGGCAGGCGAAGCGCCTTCGTGAATAAGCAGGCAGCTGACCGAAGGCGATCGGGACGTTACAGCAGGGGGCTTCAAAGGTGCTGCACGTTACCTGAAAGGAGACCCCTTATGACTTTAGAAAACCCCAAACCCTAAACTTTTCAACCCTAAGCCCTATAAACCCTAGAAGCCGTCGACAGAAGGAGACGCGAGATTCCCCCCTGCCTACATGGAGAGGCTGAGTCCGGCACTGGAAGCCGCGAGGGAGGGTGACCTCGCTGTGCTGGAGGATCTCCTTGGCAAAGGCGGCTTCGGGAGAGAAGGGTTTGGGGTTTAGGGTTTAGGGTTTAGGGTTTAGAAAGTTCGTCGGGTCTCCTTTACTACAGGGGCTACTTCGGAGTTTGGGCTTAGAGGGAGCTTTCAGAGTCAAAGATTCGGGAGCGGAAGGTTTAAGTCGGAGTTGTTTGGGCTACCGGGTTGAGTCGCGGTTTTGGATCAATGGGAGACTTCCCGAAGGCATTTTGCAAGAAGCCTGTTCAGTAAGGTTCCTGGCAGATTCTGTACGCGGGTAATCCAATGTCGCACATCTGGGAAGCAAGCAATGCCCTGTATGGGTGAGGGATCTCTTGTCCCTTTGGACCTTTCTCGAGTTGCACAGGGCTGTTGTTTGGCTCAGGCGGGCATTCCGAGCACAAAGCGTGGTTCTCCACAGAAGAAGATCTATTGGCAATCCACCATGCATTCAGATCAGCTCTCTGTCACAAAGGTGGCTGGTTTGTGTAAGTCCGAGCAACAATGAGCATCAACTGCATAGACTCACAGCCTCTCCCCCCCCCCCCCCCCCGGCCTGCACGTTTTGAGCGCCATGGTGGCCAAGAAGAAGGCGGGCGGCCAAACGGGGAAGTCAAGCTTTGTGAAGCAGGGCTTCTTCGTGGCGCTGCTGGTCGGGGCAGGCTTTTCAGCGGGCCTCCTCTTCCAGGGCAAGGCCCGTGGCGCCTCGCATGGGGGCTCGGACATGATCCGCCGCTTCAGCGAGGAAGCTGCAATGAGAGAGGAGAGGGCGACCCTCGCCCAGCTGCAGAACACAGTGGCCCAGGAGGTCTTGGACAAGAGCAGCGTGGGCGCCCTGTTGCAGGAGGCACCGGCTTCGGAGACTGGCCCTGAAGCCGAGGGCGGGCCAGCAGAGACCGGCGACTTGCCCATGACCAGCCAGACAGATCAGATGGATCAGGCAGGAACCAGCGCTGATGTCACAAATGGAGATGGGGGTGCGGCAGATGTGACTACACCACGACCTGCTGGACCTGCTCCGAGGACGGGCAAGCCTTTTCAGGTAGACCAAGATGCCCCTCGGCGCTCGGCAACGGCCTTGCAAATGCACCTGGGTTGCACAAACTGCTGCAACGACGGCAGCGAGAATGGACCCTGCTTCGATGTAGAGGAGTGCGCTGCTGGCGTTTCTGGTGGCAGGTACGCCTTTGTTTATGCACACGTGGGGGTGCCAGGGTGGCCTTGGCTCACTTTTCTGGACAGCATGCGCGCGCAGGCTTTGCTTTTGGAGGAAGCCACGGGTGGCATTGTGGATATCGTTGTGATGATGCCGGCAAGTGACATCAAGGATTTAGGATGTCACCAGCGTGCCTTGGTGCATAACTACGGCATCCGCATGTACGAGGTGCCATGGACGATTCCACCCAACTCTTGGTATCCGGACTACTGGTGGCCGGGTAAGGCCGACGGCTGGTGTGGACCGCAAGATCTGATGCGTTTGCATGCCCTAGGGATGGATGAGTACAACGCTGTGGTGTTCTATGACCAGGATGTGGAGTTTCAAGGGGACATGACTGCAGTCCTCAAGTGCGCGGCCAAAGGCTACTTTCTCAGCGCCAGTGGCGGGGTGGGAGAGCCTTTCAACGTGGGATTCTTTGCGCTCCGGCCGGACAAGAGGCTCCTGCGGGCGGCTGAGTATTTTGGTGGAAATGTGACCTTTACCGTCGAGACAGGCTGGGGCAAATGTGGCTTCCGGCCCAGCGGCAACAAGTTCGTGGGTGCAGAATGTGGACAAGGCTTTTTCCACACCCTCTTCTACAAGAAGTGCAAGCCCGTCCAGAAAGCGCTGGTTGCGGCTGGATTGCATGACGCAAGCGGGAAGGCACATTTACACCTAGAATCAGAAATGATTGACCGGTGCATCTGGAACTACCAAAACGACGGTGACTGCGGTGGCAATCCCAGGTTCAATTGCAGCGTGATTCGTGTACACCACAAACCAACAGCAAAGCCGGACAACGACCGGCTCTGTGGCAAACTCAAGCACCACCATGGCGGATGGAGTGGAGAGCCGCGAGCGCCCTTCCTTCCACCTCTGCCGGCGCCAGTGCAGGGCCAAAGCACGTCCTGCATTCCTGCCTGCGTGGATGCTGGGAATAACTGTATATGTAACAATCCTGTGCCTCCGGCGCACCACATCAAGAACGTCACTGTGTCACAGAAGCTTGTCCACTGCCAGACGCAGGTCGGAGGGGGCCGTTTCGTTTACGCACCAACCCTAAACCCTCAACCCAGAACATTTGCTGGTGCTTTCGCGTTAAGATCGAGGCGAGGTGAGGTAATGTAGAGTTGCCCCCATGTAACTGCATACCTCATGTTTCGATTTTTTGCAGTTTATTTGATAGATGTTTACGCATATACCCACATCAGTACATAAAATGCACATATTTCTACATATGTATATATATATATAATATACACATGTGTATGTTTACATCTGTACATATCTGTATGTTTAGTTGCACCATCTGCTAAAGGCTTCAAGAAGCCTGGAGTATCCCAAACCTTCTCTAGGGTGTTAAAGTCGTGTCTGAGCCCCCGAAATAACCCTAAACCCCAAAGCCTGGCTAAACGCTGAATCCTATAAACTTTCAAGACGCTCCTCAGGTCAAGAGCCCCAGCAACGACCGATTTGAGGTGAAAATCTCGGGACCGTCCCAGCTGACTGTGACACGGGTCGATGCTCCCTCCTGTTGCGAGAGCCCTGTTGAGAAATGCTTTAGGGTTAGGGTATATGTTGGAATGATTTTTTTAACATGCAGACAGAAGAGAACCAGTTGAATGGCTTGAGTTAGCTTGCATAATTATTAGCAACTGAGGTTGGTGTGATGCAGTGACTGTGGAGTGCTGTGTGCAGAACTGATCGGCCCAGCCAGCGCAGGACTGCGCAGAGTTTCCCGCTTGCACGCCAAGGACCAACTCTGGACCTAACAGGCCGCGCGCTCACGGAGAATGATTCTTGCCGGTTCGGCTCATGATACGAAGCGCCAGTCCGAGAGTCTGGGCGACGGGAGGAGGCCTGCCCCCTGCAGCATGCCATGAAGGACAAGAGACGCCACGCCAGAGCTGAAAAAGTTCAGGGTGCTGCTTCAAGTTTGACATAGCTTAGGCTGGTGCAATTTGTTTTTTCTCAGCTCCTGCCCCCTTGAGGGTGTTTGGCCATCATGGCAGTCGGATGTATCTCACGTGCACATGAAGTTGTCACCGCCCAACTGGACCTGGAAACTGTACTTGGGAGGGACTTGGACAGGAAACCACTTCTCGACGAACTCGAACGATTTCATGCAACAGTCAGTTGTTCTTTTTGATCTTCGGGCTTGCGTGCTCACACCCTGCACCACAAACTATGCAGACACAAATACTTAACAGCGCCCTAGCCCCCCCCCCCCCGGCCCTTCCCGAAAAGGAGACAACAAAAAACACTATCAAGCCCCAGATCCGTTTAAAGCCTACATACAAAACCCCCTAGGAATCGACGAAGTCCCCCCAAAATGCTCACAACGTACGTCCCCCTAAAGCCTTAAACCCCCAAAACCCTTAACTCCCCCAACCTGCAAAGGCCTCACATCCCAACCCTAAACTCTAAACCCTAAGCCTTAAACCCTCCAAACACCCCTCAGAAAGTTCAGTTCCTGCCAGGTTGGCGGCCGTTCGAGGCCGACTCTCTGGACAAGCACGGCGCCAGTGCGCTGGACCGTGCGCGTGTTCAGGTTTGAGGGGCTGCTGGGCTTGGGAATCAAGACATTCCAGTTCATAGGGGTGCACGGTTGAAGGGTTTTGGGTGGAAAAGAGGGAGGGCCTAGTTAGAGTATACATCTGAGTTCAACAGTGGCTGCTTGCAGATTGTTTGCGCTTGTGTTGCTGACTCCTTCCTGTCTTAGAGACGTTTGGCGCCGGCTTTGAACAGTCTTAAGAACCGTCAACAGATGTCGAGTCGTGAGCCGTTCTTCTTCCTATACTCCAGGGCGTATCAGAGACCAAAAAAAGCACGAGCCAGCCTGAAGCACATCTGCGGTTTTGTGGTGCGGCGTCCTTGAGGAACTCTTGATGTTTGTTTCTGCAGCCAGAGGCTGACACTCCCTGGTAGTTTTTAGCTCCTGTCCACACATCCCGCAGCAGCTCCTTTCGGGGTTAACGCGATGGGTGCTTCGCAGTCAGCTTTACGTGCCCTGCGTCGCACGCGGCCTGTTGTGGCTGCTGCTCCGCTGGTCTTCTCTAGGCCAACTCTCCAATGGTACTGTGAGGGTCCCAAGCAGCTGCCATTGCAGGTGACGCCAGAATTGCCAGAACCTCTGCACGCGCTGCCAACAAAGGAGCAGCGCGTGCTGGCCCCACCGCCAGAGTTCAAAGAACGCATGGTCTCGGCTGGCTCCTTGCGGAACATCGTTCTTCTTGGGTTGACAGGTGCGGGAAAGTCCACCTTGGCGAACCCGATTTCATGCACCATGGCCTTCAAATCTGGTGATTCCATGACAAGTGTGACTCAGGAGGTTCAGCACCAGGAGTTTGAGTACAATGGTGAGAAGTACCGTGTTATTGATACGCCTGGCTTCTTTGACACCACTATGACACATGAACAGGTTGCAGTCGCATTGGACCAGCTTGCAAAGGTTGCCAAGGAAGGATTGGTAGCCGTCATCGTCATTGTAAAGGATGGACGATTCACCGAAGAGAATGAAGCAGTCATCAAATTTGTGGAAGCTGTGCTTGGAAGCACGGCCGTGGAAAAGTACAGCATGCTCGTGGTTACCCATACGTCCAAAAGTGTTTCCAAGCTGCAGGAGGAGTTGGCCTCCTTACCGGAAGGCCATTTGGGAAGGACTATGGCCAGTAAGGTGGGCTGTCGCGTGCTTGGCGTGGACAAGGCCTTCTGGCAGTGGCCACCATACAAGACAAGGACCAACGTCATGAGCCACGTAGAGGAGATCCTGAAAAGCAACGACCACACAGCAATTGACTGTGATGTCATGAATTGGGGTGCACGCATCAAGAAACAGCTTGAGCTGGAGTTTGAGATGCAGACAGCAGGACTTCGCAAGCAGATGGAAGACAACAGGCGCAAGTTTGAAGAGAACCAGAGGCTCATGAAGGAGGCCCATGACAATGACAAGGCCAAGTTCATGGAGGAGCAGCAGCACCTGCAGATTGAAAACAAAAGCATCAAGGAACTCCTCCAGAAGACGACAGACGAACACAGTCAGATGTTAAAGGAAATTGAGAGCGAGAAGTTGAACGTTGCCAGGCAGCTGGAGTCAATGAACACAAGCCAGCAACAGCTGCAGGAGCAGATTCGGCGCATGCACGAGGCTCACGAACAGAGGCTGGACCAGATGAAGTTCGATTATGAGATGGACAAGCAAAGAGAGATGCGGGCGAACCAACTTGTACCGTTGCCACGTCAGCAATTCTATGTTGAACGACATGGGTCCGACAGCAGTGAGGCTCTGGCGCTGGCCACGGGTGCTCTCGCTGGTGCAGCATTGGTAGGCGGCGGTTGCAATGTGCAGTGAATTGCTAGCAGTATCTAGCTTCTAGCTACTCTAGCTGGACCAAGATGGCATATGAACCTCACGGCGCTGAAAAGTTCTTACGTCCGGTTGGGGGTTCCTAGCTGCATCTAGCTGCGGAGCTCAGGATTTATGATGTACTCTGGACCCAGGATGCCCCAAAAGCTTACTGCCAAGCCTTACAATCCTTGAGCTGTGAAGGACTGGGCTGCAGGAAATGGGCATATGCAGTGCGTGGAGCTGCTTTTGAGCGCAGACAGCGGGACAGCAGTGAAGGCCAGTGGTTGGGATGCAGGAGGGTTTGGGTTTGGGGTTTAGAGTGTCGGTGCCTTTGCAGCGGGGCTGGGTTTCACTGGGCAAGGTGACGAGTCGAGGGACAGCGCAGCCAATCAATGCATGCATATCTCGAAAACCCTAATCCCTGAGAGATGCGATTAGCTAACTAAACTCTAAACTCGGAGCCATATACCAGAGTGTATCGAGATACGGCGGCCTGCAAACTAGAAGGGCTATGTTGAGGCAGCATTGTACACTTCTGGCGCAAGGTTGTCACTATCGCCTCGGCCCCACAGTGTTTTCTAGCTCCGCTTCACGAACAGGGACGACCCCAGCAGCTTTTCGATGTTGGTCACATAAACGGAATTTTGCACCAGGGCCTTCAGAAGGGTGTGCTGAAGTCCTTAAATCGGGTATTCCACAGATGTAACGTGAAACTTGGAGCAAGTCTTGTGTTGAGGCTTCAGCAGATTTGTTCCAGCCTGTGCTCCTTCTTTGCAGAGAGGCCACCCGACGAGACGGCCGTGGACCCTTCCATTGGGCAGCACAGGCTGGCTCTGAAGGGCCTGGATTTTGATTAGGGTTTAGGGCCTTCAGGGTCTTTAAGGTTTAGGGTTTCCTCGTTCAAAAGGGTTTAGGGTTTAGGGTCCTGAGCAGGACCCATAAGCCTCTAACTAGCTGAACCGACGGTCCTTTTTTTGGAAGTGTGAACGCTTGTGCGTGCTTGGGCCCAAGCCACAGGAAGCGCACGTCGGCAGTTCAAGCGGGTCGAGGGAAAACCCGAAAACACGAAGCCTTGAACGTGCAGCGTAAGAGCTTGGACGTAGAGACGTAGAGGCATGCTGGAGGACCCCTGAAGTCCTTTTTTCCCTCCTGATTTACCAAGGAAAGTCTAAAACCTTCGGTTGCCAAGTGAAGCCGGTAGGGTGGTGGGAGATGCCACCAGCGAGTCGGAATCGTCCCGTGCTGGGCCGGGAGGTGTGAGGTTGTGTGCCGGGGAACTCAGAAAAGCCCAAACCCGGCATCGGATTGCAACTACCCCAAAGCGGCTTTTAACGTGTTCCAGCGCGAGCACTCGGGATGCGGTTTTCATGTATGCCTTCCTTGTTGTTTACGGCCGTGTGGGCGCGGTACCCATCTGAAGCCAGGTTGGCCTGCCGAAAGCCCGAGTTAACCCAACTCTGATCCCACCAAAACTCCGAAAGCCATGCGTCCCGTCGGATTTGGGCAGGGTGGGCACAATGCCGTTCTCCAGCGACTGCTCCAGTGCAAGGCCGATGGCCCAACACAGAAACAGCCAGTGCCCACAGCACAAGTTCTAGACTCAAGTTCTAGCTCTAGAAAAACGGGCATTGAGTCTCAGAGCTGCAGTGAGCTGCTCATGCGTTTTTTGTGGTTTTTGTCGCTCAGCGCAACTGACTGTAGGTGCACCCGGACGCTCGCACCACTGCTGGCGTGACAATGATGATGCCCCCAAGCTGGCATCAACCAAAGAATGCTTCCAAGACGAATCACACCAGTTGGTGTTGCCAAGCATGCTCGTGGTGTTCTGTAGCGCTCAGTTCTAGCCGCGGCGCTGCATGCGCTGAGTCTTTTTTTTTTTTGGGGGGGGGGGGGGGGGGGGGGGGGGGCGGGACGGCCAATAAATTGAAATAGCACAGAAGATTCAAGCCCAGTTTTGGCTAGGTTTGCAAGCTACGGTGGCCACGTGGACACGTGCAGCTTCTTGCTGGATCAACGCGGCTCGGGCGCAGGGGAATCCGTAGCTCAATGAGGTCTTGCACAAGAATTCCTAAATTACGGGCCCTGTTTTTACGTACGTAATCCTGAAGGCGTAACATGGTACGACGGCGACAAGGATCACAGACGTCAATCGCGTGTTAGCGCTGGGCCGCAGGAGCGGACCTTGCCCTGCAGAATGCGCTCTTTGGCTGAAGATGCCAGACGGTGGCAGGGCGAGCGGGTTTTCCAGGCATGAGAAACCATCTATCCTGAAGTTATAAAGTTTGGGCCAAAGCAGATTCCACACGTTAGGAGTGTTGTCACCGTTTGGTGGCATTGAGGGTCAGAGCCGATCCCGCCCCAAGAAGACACATGCCAGCTTAGGTTTCAGTCCTGTAAGACTCTGCAAAAGTTTACATTGCCCAAAATTGCCCAAAATTGCCCTCCAACTGTGTTTTCCTTTTCGGCCTGAAGCCTCCAGATTCTTCCTAGGTATGGATGCGACGCCGGGCACTTTGCAGCCATGGGCGGCGACGTTGCCACCTGCCAGTGGACCTCAGTCTGCAAGTTCGAGGGGATCAGGGATGTACAGTCTTCTGCAGTTTGCCCTCCTATTTTTTTTATATAAGGGGCGTCTTGAGCAGTTACTTGTATTGCATGAAGGTTGAAACTCGCGAATTTGTTGCGTTCAGGAAGTTGTGGTCAACATGTAACGCTTGAAAACTGGCGACAAATACGAGGCTTGTTTGGGGGTCAGGGAATCTCGTTGATTTGTGAACCAAGGCGGCAGGAACAGCAAGCACATACGCTCCACGTGCATTATGCAAGACGATGCATAGCAAGCACGTATTCCCTGCACGGACACCTCAAAGCCGAAGTTGATGTCCGATCTGTACGCCAAGACCCGGACAGCTGCAACGATGTGCCATGTGACGGCAGACCGATAAACCAAACCGCACTTGAACTAAAAGCCCTAAACCCTATACCTGATGCCCGGCGGAGCCTTGACGGACGCACACGTCAACGGCTGATGTGCGTATGGCTTGTGAGAAAGTGAGGCGCTGTTTTCATGAGGGCAGCTCGTTGTTGGCACTGTATCAAGAGAAATCCAACGTCCCAAACATCCCGGTAAAACCCCTAAACGCGAGACTAAGGCTGCTTGGCCGAGGCATCTGCTTCACTCGCCCGCAGCGCGCCGGACACACGGCCCCCGTGATGCATCCTCAGATTGTTGCCCTTATCTAATCTCGTACCCGAATTTCAAGCCCACAAAATCTAAGAACGACAACCGTTACAGAAGATCCTACATGGCAACTGCTTCCAGTTTCCTGCTTTAGTCCCGGGCATTGGGAAACCCTGGGCGCCGGAGGCTCGTGTAAGGTTTAGGGTTAACAAGAATGTTGAAGCTGTGGGTTGTTTTGAAACGGAGAGGGAATCGCATTGAAACATCACCGCAAAGTCCGAGTGGTAGGCAAGGTCGTTCAGGCCTTCGAGTTCCTAGTTATGTGGCTTGCGTTTGGGTAGTTTTTTCCGTGCACTTCTCCATCCGCATGTACAGAGTATTCATAAAGGGCCCACATAATGCAAATCAACCCCCAGTTGGCCAGGCTTTGCACAAAGCCGCGGAATTTGGCCACGCGGATGCACCTTGGCGAACCCTCCTAACCTCTCGACCCTGTCGGTTGTGATGTTTCCCCTCATCAGTCCTTAATAGGGCTAGGGGTGATCGTACCCCCTACTAGAATCCCCATATATCCCTATTAAGGACTCTTAGTATAACGGGGAACATCCCCTAAACCGACGCCCTATAGGCCCCAATAGTATCCACAGGCCCGCGTTGGAGCTTCAGGGCTGGCGTTCAACCCCAAGCCTACTTCAAGACCCTAGTGCAGTTACCTTTTAGGGGTAGTATAGGGGTCGGGATAATTACTGATAGTATTCCCTTATGGTCCCCTCATAAATATACCAGAAACCCCCAAAACACTATTTTAATCATTAAAGCCCCCAGATTGGTATACTTACGTCCTGAAAGCACCCCCGGTGAAGCCCTAAACCCAAAACCCCTTAAGTCTCAGGGCTTCAAGTTGGACCTTCAGGCTTGGTGCGGGAGGAAGCAAGCACTTTGGGCTTTCCGGGGTTCGGTAATCATGGAGTCATCTTTTAGTAGGGGGTTTGGGGCGGTTCAATATGCGTTGCTTTTTGGGGGGGGAGCGGGGGGGGGGTGATAAACCTCCGAAAATCGGTAGGGCTGTAGGATTCAGGGGGTTTCTTGGTGGTTGGTGTCCTCCCGATCGTCCTGGAGCTAAATTTACAGCATCCTGACATAGAAGCAGTTTACGGGTTTGGTGTTGGGATGAGTTGTTGGGGCTTACGGTTCAGGGTTGCGTCGGGTTTGTGCAGCTGTTTTAGGCACACAGCCTTGCAGCGTTGAGGTGGTGCAGTACCTGCTGCACGTGGCCAGCGTACATTCAGAGGATTCCGACAAGGCAGGATGGTAAACAGGCTTCGCGAGAAGTGTTCAGGGCGTGGAGGGGCACAATAGAACAGAAGAGCATATAGTACATGTTGCACATATTATGAACGTGAATCTGGACGGGTCGTGAGCGTTCTGAGAACAACTCCCGAAGTCCAAAAACCACTCATCCCAACCCACCCCCATCCACCCTGACAGGATCCGTTTGCTGAGGATCTGGTTCCAGGCATGAGGGTTTGGGGGTCCAGGGGTTAGGGCCGTTAGGGTTTAGGGTTCAAGGGGGTTGGGGGTTTGGGGGTTTGGGCTGCGGCTGTTGCAGCAGAAGTTTATAAGCCTTCACGGCTGCTCGTCATCTTCGGGTTCCTGTGCGTGAACGCCCGGCTGCCGTTTGTTTCGAACTTTCTTTACGACTGCACCCCAAAGCAGACCTGAGTTTTTGTCTTTGGTATTGAGTGACTTAGTGAGTTCAGAGTTCGGTTTGAGGGTTCACGGTATCCATCACCATCGCAGATTTAGGGCCTCATAGAGCTTT